ACGAGAGGGAAAACAGTGCAGGGATAATGATGATAAAAGTGATAATAATGATAATAATAATAGCAATAATAAGGATAATGATATTGATAAAGAGGATAATGATGATAATGATAATGATAACAATGACAGTAATAGTAATAATGAAAATTATAATGATAATGATAATAATAATACTAATATCGATATTAGTAATAAAGATAATAATAATGGTAATGTCATTGCTGTTATTGGTAGTAACAACAATTACAATAACTAATTATAATGATAATGTTAATAATTCCGATAATAATAAAAATAAAAAACAGGGACAATAACAGTTAAATTACTACCACCAACAAAAACAACTACGAGAACAACAGCAATAATATAAATGATAATAATAAAAATAATAAATAATAATAATGATAATGATAGTAATAATAATGATAATGATTAAATAAAGAATAATGAAAATAACAATAACAGTACTACAACTACAACGAAAAATAATGGCAATGATAATAATAGCAGTAATGATAATAATAAAATAATAATAATGATGATAATAATAACAATGATAATGATAATGATAATAGCAATATCTTGGGTGATATATATATATATATATATATATATATATATATATATATATGTATAGATATATGTATCTATATATATGTGTATGTATCTATATATACATATATATGTATATGTATCCATATTTATGCATATTTATATATATATATATATATATATATATATATATATATATATATATATATATATATATATATATATATATTTATATTTTACATATAGATAGATAAATATGTATATATACATAGAGATACGAGTATATATGTATATATATATATATATATATATATATATATATATATATATATATATATATATATATATATATATATGTATGTATGTATGTATATGTATATATACATATTCATTTATATACATATATATTTACAAGTATATGTACACACACATAGATGTGTGTATATAGCTCTGTGTGTGTGTGTGTGTGTGTGTGTGTGTGTGTGTGTGTGTGTGTGTGTGTGTGTGTGTGTGTGTGTGTGTGTGTGTGTTATTATCACTATTGCTATTATTAACACTAATATTATTATTCTGATTATTGTTATTACTACTATTATTTATTATTACTAATATTATTATCATACTATTATTATTAGCAGCCCATATCACCATGATTAATTGTTACTAGGTGCTCTATGGTAATAATAATAATTATTATAATTATAATAATAAAAAGAACAATGATAGTAATGACATAACGATAATAATGATAATAATAATGATCACACAATAGTGATAATTATGATAATATCAATAATAACACACGCACATAAATATATATATATGCGTATGTATATATATATAGGCAAATGGATACATTCATATATATATACATATCTATTTCAGCCCACCATAAATACTCCATAGACCAAGTCCTTTCCAACGGGAGACTGACCCGCTAGAGGCAACAGAGAAAGTAGAGAGTGAGTGAGAGTGCAACGGATAGCGTGCCCTTCCAGTCTGCCTCGTCAGCCATGCTAGTGTTACTCTCTCCAAGGTCACGGCAGACGTCTTTCCTACATGGGTGAGATGGAAAGAGATGTTGGTCGGGGGGAAATACTTGTCTTTTTCGTTGCGTTCGACTTCCAGACGGTATGGAACCAGTGCGAAG